AGATTGGTTTTTGACGCCGCCGCCACCACCGAAGGTCATTCGCTCAATGATTATCTGCTGCAGGGACCTGATTTACTACAATCATTACTGGGCATCATGCTACGATTTCAAGAAAAGCCTATTGCATTCATAGGTGATATCAAAGACATGTTCCTTCGTGTAAAAATAAATGAAGAAGATCAGCATTGTTTACGTTTTTTGTGGCGAGAAAATAATAAGAGCAACTTCAATATTTATGCCATGTCTTCATTGATATTTGGCGCCAACTGCTCTCCGTTTATAGCGCAACATATTAAAAATAAAAATGCGCTGAGATTTCAAAAAGAAATGCCCGAAGCCACTGAAGCCATCCTGAAATCACATTATATGGACGATTACATAGAATCTGTTGATGATGTACATACAGCTTTGAAATTAATAAAAGAAGTGTCAAAAATTCATAGTTCAGGTGGCTTTGAGATAAGAAACTGGATATGCAACAGACCCGAAGTCTTAGAGTGCACACCAAAAGCGATCTTAAGTGATAAGGCCATAAGGATGAAAACTGATTGCGATGATTTACCTGAACGTACTCTAGGACTGCTTTGGTTCCCCTTAAGCGACACCTTTGGTTTTGACTTATCGCTCAAGCGTATACCAGAAGAAATAATAAATTTACAAAAAATACCTACCAAAAGAGAACTGTTGCGCATAGTTATGTCTATATTTGACATTTTTGGTTTCCTCGCTCCATTTATAGTAAAAGCAGAAATAATACTACAGAATATTTGGAAGATGAATATAAAATGGGATGAGACTATACCTGAAAAAGAAAACAAAATTTTTTAAAACTGGCTAATCGAACTCAGACAGCTTCAACGCTTGCGCATACCAAGATATCATTTTCTTACAAACAGACCTGAGAACGAAATAGAAAATGAAAACTTACCGAGGCTTGCTCGTAGCGAAGACACAAGGGTGAAAGAGACCACCATAGAACTGCACGTGTTCTGCGACACATCGCCGACTGCATACGCCGCCGTTGCCTACTACAGAGAAGTGACAAAGACAAATGATGTACGCGTCTCATTCATAGCGAGCAAGTGCCGAGCGTCGCCGATTCATAAATATATTACAGTACCTAAACTTGAATTGCAAGCTGCTGTTATCGCCTGCCGGCTCGCCGAGACAATAACGCGTGAGAACCGGTTACTTATAGATAAAAGACACTTCTGGACGGACTCGCTTATAGTGTTGCATCAAATAAAAAATGAAACACGCAATTATAAAGTTTTTGTGGCTAATAGATTGGGTGAAATCGACGAATGGCATTATATACCTACCGATATGAACATAGCCGATAAAGCTACAAAATTAAATACTTACCAATTGACTGACGATTGCGACTGGTTTCGAGGCCCGCACTTTCTGTACATGAAACCCGAAGATTGGCCAAAATATGAACCTGGAAAAGAAAATATAATTAATGAAGAATTATTACAAGTTAACACATTACATAATATTGATAACATTGACTTACCTGTTCCCGATTCGACTAAGTTTTCTTCATGGCTTCGTTTGTTAAGATGTACGACGAATGTATTACTGTTCGTACAGAGATGTAGAAAGCCTGGTCACGCTGAAAATAAAATAGAAATAAGACAACGTGCTGAAAATTTGATTTTGCTTCACGCTCAGATGCAATCATTCGCTGAAGAGATTCACCTGCTGAAAAATAAAAAGTTTATACCAGCTAATAGCAGGCTACGTACCTTAACACCCTATCTCGACGAATGTGGTCTGCTTCGAGTCGGGGGCCGAATTGAAGCTATGTTTGATGTTAGCCGCAACTCGAAAAACCCTGTGATATTAGACGGCCGATATCCAACTGCAAAATTAATAGTAAAATATTATCACGAGATGGCCGCACATGGAAATAATGAAATGGTGGTAAATGAAATCCGCCAAAAATATTGGTTACTTCATCTACGACCTACAGTGCGCACAGTAGCCGCGCGCTGTCTTTTCTGCCGCATAAGGAAGGCGAAGCCTACAAACCCAAGACTGGGGGATCTTCCAATGGCAAGACTGGCACACCATCAACGAGCCTTTACCTTTTGTGGAGTCGATCTGTTCGGCCCAATGGAAGTAGTCATCGGTCGCCGTCGAGAAAAAAGATACGGTGTGCTTTTCACATGTTTGACCGTAAGGGCGATTCACATTGAGACGGTCCCTTCACTATCAGCCGACTCCTTCATAATGGCATTACGAAGAATGGCTGCACGACGTGGTTGGCCGTTGAAAATGTTTTCTGATAACGGCACAAATTTTAGAGGAGCCGACACTGAAATGAGAATTACTTTGAAAGAAATTAATCAGTCTGATTCAAAGGAGGAACTGATAAAGAAGGGTGTCGACTGGCAATTCATCTCACCAGCCAGTCCTCATATGGGCGGAGCGTGGGAGCGCCTGATAAGGAGTGTGAAGACGGCGCTCCGAACTGTTCTGAAAGAACGAGCCCCACGGGAAGAAGTCTTGATTACCCTACTGGCCGAGATTAAAAATATGGTAAATAGTCGCCCGTTGAGTCACGTGTCTGTCGACCATGAGTACCCAGAAGCGCTTACTCCTAACCATTTTCTTATTGGCTCCTCATCCAATCTTCCAGTTCCTGGAGAGTTCACTGACTGTGACCTGTATCGGAGAAAACAATGGAGAATAGCGCAGAGACTAACAGATATGTTCTGGAAGCGCTGGGTCCGTGAAGTTTTGCCTACTCTCATTCCTCGTCAGAAATGGCACCAAGAAGGTCGTAACCTCAAAAAGGGAGGAGGGTTGTGGTCATCGTCGATCCCACCTTGCCCCGAAATACGTGGCCAAGGGGCCTAGTTGAGAAGGTACACCCTGGGGCAGATGGTCGTGTGCGCGTTGCCGAAATAAAAACCAAGACCGGTATACTTACCAGGCCCGCTACTCGCCTGGCCGTGCTACCTACCGCTAGTGATGATTGTCCTTGACGGACAATGGGGCGGAGAATGTAGACGACGCGACGCGCATCTTTAAATCAAACCCATCATTTAATATGTAATATCTATAACTAAGCTAAATTTGTCATTTTACTTTCAATCATACATTTCGTCCATTTCGATATTTGTTAATTGCATTAATTATATGTTGCGTTTTATAATTTAATAAATATGCCGTAGGGTACGAGCATGTGTGTGAATGCGCTTTGATTTTGTTGATCGAATAAACGGTTGCATATAAGTTACTAAGACAGTTGCTAAGCCATAGCCGACGCAAGCACACGCACGCATGCCGCACCCGAAAGCTCTTCGCACAGTATCTACTGCGTTATTATTTTCGAAGTCCTTGGTCACCGCGCCAACTTACATCGCGTACACTTATATTAATTTATTACTTTGTATTATTTTGTATGTTTAGTTTACTTGTACCATTTTATTATGTTTTTATTATTCTTGTTTAAGTGTACTAATTTATAATTTTTGAAATTAAAAGTATAAACCACCTTCGATTATTACATTCTATTGTAAGAATTATGCAATAAACAATTTTCAATAATTATTTATTTTGTAATTTGATGTCCGTGTTGATATAGACAATTATACATTAGTATTGTACTTTCCCAAAACCACTTAACAGACTAAAAAAGTATTGATTCCATGTAATTTTTTATATATAATATATTTTAAGTTAAACTGCACATAAACGGCAAAGCTGCAAGTGCATGTAAAAGATTTGTTGGTGAAATTAATAAATAAATGTAATACAATAATTTACTAATGGATTCATTGCTAACACTTTTAAAAATTCGAGAAAAAAAGTATTTCAGTTTTGCTCCATACATTTTTTTCTTAAATATATTTTTTTGGCGAAAATATTCGATTACATGAAATCTGCTAGAACAAAAGTTGATGAGCGTTCACTTATCTGTCTGCATTAATTTTTTCAGCGAAAATTAACCTTGGTTCCTAAGCCCACTATATTCAAAATCCGGACCACTGTGAGACGTGGAAATGATTGATAAATGTCTGATTGCCACTCTATAAATATTTGGATATTGGTTTTTAATAGTATCCCAGGCTATGTAAGGGTTTTGTTTTTGGGATTTATTTCTATGTAGGTACTTAACATAATTTCCTACACAATGTAATATTGTTTTTATGGAATAAATGACTAAGGACTATGGTCTTTTACCACCATGAACATTTTGTTCCAGTTTCACATCTAGAAGAAACATACGTAGCTTCAACTGCATAAACGTTACAGTAGAAGAGCCCAAGAGGGAGTTTTTGGATTTACTCGAGCGCGGCAGAATAACATACGGGGAGCAACCTTGCACCTAGTTAAGTACTCCCACCATACCTGAGCCCTCTATGTAGGGCCGAACGTCTAGGGCAGCAAAAACAAAATTTCAACGAACAGTCATGACTTTTGGTCGCGCCCAAATCGTCAGTCTTTTGAATAGGAGCTACTGGAGGGTTCATGTAACGTTTCTAAGAACGGAAAAATATTGATCTGCCGCGGTTTGCATGATATGGGGGTGGCGGTACGAAGGGGTAGAATATAGGAAAAAATTACCGAACGCGTCAGACATCGAGAAAGGATGTTACGTGAACCTTCCAGTAGCTCCTATACAAAAGACTGACGATTTGGACCCGACCAAAAGTCATGGCCGTTTGTTGAAATTTCGTTTTTTCTGCCCTAGACGTTCGGCTCTACATAGATGGCTCAGGTATGGTGGGAGTACTTAACTAGGTGCAAGGTTGCTCCCCATATATTATTTTGCCGCGCTCGAGTAAATCCAAAAATCCCCGCTTGGGCTCCTCTACCATTATACATTATTACATATAGACAGAGATGGTTTGAAAGTCTTAAGTAACAGTGGGTATTGTATGGACAAAGCTGTTGGCTGTCGAAGCTTGTTATTATGATTTTTGAGACGTGTTTCATGTTTAGGCATTGTTAATGTATGAACCGACAAGACCATAATGAAGGTCATTGCGATCGATTAATCGATAAATGCGCAAAATTTTACAAACAATTAATCGATTAATCGAATCGATATCGAACATCCCTAGTTTGTTTTTATCTGCTATTTTGCTAAACGAGGTTTTCTCTAGAATGTATCTTCTTATTCTAAATTGGGTAGGTTTATTAAACTACTAAATTGTGCAGTACTGAATTAGGTGGTTAACTGTCTACCCCAGTCGTCTATTGATCTTCAAGAATGAGTATAAAAGGTATAAAATTAATAACCTTTGATGTTACTAATACGTTATTAAATTTTCGGATGCCAGCATGGCAGTTCTACACTTTAATAGCTCGTGATCATGGCTTCATTGGTAATGAAGAATTTGTGAAAGGGCGATTTAAAGACAGCTACAAAGTAATGTTAGATAAATATCCAAACTTCGGCAGGTCCAAGATTACTTGGGAGGAATGGTGGACTGAAGTTATTAAGAAAACATTTGAAGGACAACTTCCACCCTCTGCCAATATTTTTAAAATAGCAGACAAACTTATTAACGAATTCAAAACTGCAAACTGCTGGTGCGTGGCACCAGCAGGAGTCAGACTGCTATGTGAGCTACAAATTCAACAAAAAACCCTTGGCGTTATTTCAAATTTTGATCCAAGGTTAAATCAGATTCTTAGAAGTGTGAAGCTATGGGATAATTTTGACTTTGTGTTAAATTCATATCAGGTAGGGTACAGTAAGCCTGATAAGAGAATTTTTGATCATGCACTGGAGCAGTGTAAATTTCTTGTCAGGCCTTCAGAAGCTTTGCATATAGGTGATGATGTGAATAAAGATTATGAAGGGGCTAAGGCTGCAGGATGGCATGCTATTCTCATTTCCAATAAGTATTTCACTGAGAAACCACCAGCACAAAGACATGTGTTCAAGAATTTAGAAGAATTAAGTTTAAAAATAAGTCAAAATAATCTGCAGCTCTGATTACACTGTTTGAGTTAGCAAGCTTGTAGATGGTTATTAATTTGTTCTCAAGTTAGATGTAGTTATTATTTCTCATCAACCAATATGTTTGAGACTTAGATTAAAACAAAAAGGGATGATACCGTACGCTCATACTAGCATCAAATAAAAAAAACAACTGATTGCACTCCAAGAGTGCTGGCAGAAGTGAAACATTGTACATTTTTGATATTTTGGAATGGTTAGGGAAAATTTTTGCACGAATTGCTTTAATTATCAGTATAAAAGTACTATCATTTATGTGGTAGAATACAATATTTATTTATTGTGCTATTGTACACAAACATGAAAATATATATAACATTAAAAAGTTTATCTCTCAGAAAAATCACCTTACATTAATCACATCTAAGTGCACCTAGTGAATTCTATTGTAAAAAAATGCATTTTCTTTGCAATAAAGTCCTGGATGTCCTAGTTAGAGACTTATTATTATAATACGATAAAATAAAATATTACTATGTTTCATCCAATATATTGAAAGTCTGAAACAACCTTTCTAATTTTATTGTTTTCGTCTTACGCCACGTGTCCTGGTGCGAGTTTAACATTTTTTACCCATACAAAAAAAGTGTACAACGCGGCTAAAGAAGTTTTCACTTCAATATAATCCAAAACTAACATTAAACATAAACCTAACATTCATGCAAAACAGAGATCTTTTTGAAAAAAAAAAACTTAGTTTTTCCAATGAAAAGTGTGGCTGTGTTATTTGATCTTTAACTATTTGTGTTCTTTATAAAAGCATCGAAGGCACTGTCTTATCTTTATAACACAGAATATACACAATAATGTTAAACCGTATCTTCCCTTTTTGTTTTAATAATAATAATATTCTTTATTGACATACACCTCACAGGACATACAAGACATTAAACATGACAGTGAAAACGTACACAATAGGCGGCCTTATTGTTAAACAGCAATCTCTTCCAGGCAACCTTAGGTTTGAGAATATCATTGTTAAGTAAGACCTTTAAATACTACTCAAAAATATCTCATAATTAAAATAAATTTATTGTATCTACTACTTGATAAAATCTTTTGAATTATGTAATTGAAATAAATAGTTGTTTAAGAATAAATATTTTTATTAACAATTTTCATTGTTGTTTTTATTATATTTTATTAAAAGACCAAAGGTTGTAATTGTGAAGTATCACATGAACTTAAAGTAGTGGACATTTTCAAAAGATGTGTAATATCAGTTACAGCTATTATATGTATATCTATATATATAAAAATGTTATGTTGGTTTGTGTACGTTTCAAAAACTCAAAAAGTTCTGCACCGATTGACTTGAAATTTTAACATGTTATAAAATCCGCATCAAGGATTGTTTCTATCTATTTTTTGCATCAGACACTTATCTGCGACCGCGAGAAAACAGTTTTTTTAACGATCAGCAGTGTACCAGTGACCGCGCCATCTGCCAGAAGCGAGGAAAACACTCGCTGACAACCGCAATAGTAATGACGCAGTCCCATGAGAAGCAATTTCGTTCCCAATTACATTGTAAAAAAATTTGCATCTGATTCTGATTATTATACAATCTGAATTAAATATTCACTTAAATAAAGAATTTTTGGTGTGATAGTGTTGTGATCGAACTGCGCCTTTCACCAAATCGTAAGTAGAGGTTATATTTTATATCAGATGCAGTGTTTCCACAATGAGGGGAAATTCCCCTTTTAAGGGGAAATTAGGGTCCAGAGGGGAAGAAAAAGGGGAAAGATATGAAAGAAGAAGAAAGTGAAATTGCGGGAAATTATGGGTAAAGCCTAGCCTAAAATAATGCGGCACGGAACAAATTTAAGTTTTATGGACTAGAGTGTTGCCGTATAAAAGAAACTGTGGCAACACGTGCAGATTTTATATATTTTATTTATCTGTTATAGAATAAGATAGATTAAGATCCTTTTTTTTTTTTCTTTATTTACTACACTAGTGCCAAATCTGAAAACTACAGCAGAATAATTTTTGAGGGGAAAAATGTCCTAAGAAGGGGAAATCTGAATTGAGGCGTGGGGAAAGGAAATCATTAAAGTGGAAACACTGATCAGATGGACAGTAAAAATATTATTTTTTTGCAAACAAAAAATATTGTATATCCACAAGTATTGCTAAATTAAACTTATATGAAATGTATTCTTTGTTTTGTTTCTCATTTCTCAACCATTCAATCACAATGTGCCACTGTTTCTGTTTTATATATAGTAGGTACCTATGCTTATAAAAAGTTTAGCCAAGCATATTTAATTGAATCAGAATAAAATTATTATAGATAAAATAGTACTTTATAGTGTAAGTGTGTAATGTTGGTGATTACCGCTGAGGTGCCATTGAGACCAGAGCCGTTAGGTAATCATCAATACACACAAGTATCATCATACGACGTTTTTTAACACACTTGTTAAGAAAATAATACTAAAAATCATTTTATAGTATATAAAAAGTTTATTTAGAGAAACAATTTGTAAATGTGCAGTTAGTAAAATTAGTGATAGGTATCTTCACTAAAAGCATCTGGCCATGGTTGTTTATGTGACCATTTCTTTCTTTGGTCAGCCTTGCCTGTTTTCCCAGGAGTTTCAAACTTTCCATCATTCTTAAAACCTTTGTTGACTATCCGACTCTCTGATTTTCCTGAAAAAAAGTAAAGAAACATGTAACGGAATAGAAACAATAACTTATTGACATGAAGCAATTAATTCAAAATTGGTAGAAAACTTGACCGAGTTGAACCAAAATAACGTATCAAAAGAAATGGTCGTACTACAATTTACCTATTTACTACAATGACAATCTAACCTAAAAATGTGCAATGTAAACAATGCCTTTTTTGGTCTCAAAATCGTAAATTGAGTAAAGAACAATGGTTAGATTTCTATATGAGCTGAACTTGACTTTTATTTTTGATGTCCCTTAATAAACTATAGTGAGAATGGTTTGTTTTTATGTTGTAAATGCTATCCCGTTTGAAAATTTTATATAAATAGCCACGATTTTTTAAAATATCGCCACTAATACTTTTGAGGTTAGAATCAACAAGTACCTTTGACCCGACTGCGGCGAAACCCAAAATGAAGTAGCGAAAAGCGCAGAGGGTAATTGGCGATCTCATAGCTATTTTATTCGATGCCTCATAGAAAAAAAATAGAACTGAAAAACTACAAAGTGGTTTTTAGTCCAGTCCTATTTTGGGGCATTAAGGCACGGTAATAATATCATACAGATAAAACTAGTTTTTACGGGTAGCTCGACAATTTTAAATAAAAAATCATTATTCTGACGATGCAGACCTGAAAAGGCTGCGAAACGTCAATAAATAAATAAAGTTTCGTGCACCCGTAAAAACTAGTTTTATTTAATGAGTGATGTATCAAATATCATACAGTATTCTATCTTCATACAAACGGTCGGAAAGCGAGTCATACCTACGCCACTCGAGTTCGATGTGCTCTCGGCGTGCACCCAGTCGCGAATGCGCCGCCGCGCCGCAACGACGACCGAACGGTTTGAATTGTTTTTTATGCAGTTAGCCGTGCTTAAACATGCGTTTTGTATTGTAAATATTTGATTTAATTAAGTAGATACCTACATAATTTAGTATGGAAAAGAACAAACGACGATCAATATCGTACAACAGCACAATTGCTGTTTTTGGTTGCTTGAACTCTTCAATAACACACCCAGAGATATCATTTTTTAAATTACCTGAAATATTGGAAAGGTGGTCTTACCTTTATAGAATATTTTTTATATACCTATCTACTAGTACGTTATTTGTTTCTAATATTTAGGTATTTCGGTTTTTCCATCGGGCAAAATATCTGGAATAATATATAAATAAGTGGTTAGGATGAAAAAAGAGACAAACGAGTAATCTACCTACACTCGCGTTAAAAACAAAACTACATAAAATACTGTAGGCTGGCGGCCCTACCGCGTGCCAACGCAGCGTTCGGTGTAGGCATTTATTTTCAAGGACAGGGCGGAGTCACAATACTGTATAGATAATATTACCGTGATTAAGGTTTCTACCCATTACACCGTATCATATCATGAACGTGTCAGACACGAAAATAATACGACACGGTCTACCTTGCCCACTGTACGGATCGACGGCGTTTTGTACCCGTTTGTAAAGCGTATGATGACCGCATACAACCCGTACGATGTCCGTGTGTAACGTAGTTGATTCGGAATCCGTCATTCTTATGTGCATATTAGACTGTAGCGGACGTGTGCTTTTATGTCACTATATAAGTATGGCTATTAGAAGAACCGCTAGACAGTTGGCAATGATTGCCATAATATTGGATGAAGAAGAAGGTACAACAAGAACGAAGAACTTTTTTTTTTTTCCTCTGGCAACACTGGCGTAACAGCTGTTTTTGAGACTTTTTGGCGGGAAGTCAATCTAGGCGCGCGCCTTTTTTCTTTCCTCAAATATTAATTAATTTTATTGACTTTCTAATTCAACTTTTCTTGGAAAAACCTTTCAACAACAAGATGGGTCCCCCCAGCGATGGGGAGGACCAAGCAGAGGGTACCAAAAAGCGAAAGTTATCCAGTAATGCGGCGGCGAGCACCACTGTATCTACTGATAAGTATAAAGTTTATACCAAACATAATTATAAACGACAATTTATAGAGAATCACTCAGGAGTATGCACAGTATTTGTAGAATCGATTCAACAGGAAAAACTAGGAAACAAAAACCCTATTACTATTCCCAAATTATTCACTGAAAATATTAAAGGAATAGCTGGCTTCATAGAGTCAACGCCCACAAAATAGGTGTAACTTTTAAAAAACCATCCATGGCAAATTCTTTCATCAAAATGGAAAATTTTCTGGCTAAGCATAAAATGTGCGCTTTCGTCCCAGCCTATTTAACAGAGACTATTGTTTTTTTTAAAATACGTGCCTAAAGAGCTCTCCAATGAGGAAAGGAGATTGCTCAGCTTCCATACATGTTTGGCCTAAAAACCAATAACCATGAAAAATTGTTTCCTACATTCGAAATTATATATAAATTACCGTAGAAACGAATATTATCGACGGCCACTCCTGAGAACTTCTATAAACCATATACACTGAATGATTTTGAGGTTATGTTTGCAAATAGGCACATAGGTATTAAAAT